ATATTACATCATAGCAAGTGGGATGACTTAATGTTTATGAAGTTGCATGGGATGTTTGCTCCTCTCTGGAAAAGTGTAGCGTTGTTTGAATGAAAGTGTAGGAAAGGATCGATATTTGTATTTTAAGTGAATTAAGGCCAGATCTTCATAATTCTTATGAATTAATGACAACACAATTTTAAGAGTCATAGCTTAAGGAAAACAAAGACACTCCAGGGCATATTTACTAGCAGATTTGTTGGCAAAGTTGCTGCTGTGGCTTTTTTTTTTGTTTGTTTTTTTCAGACTGATCACTCACCATGTAGTGGCTTCCCAGAAAAATACTGTGCCACAGCCAGTGTCTCCTACATTAGCATTTGTTTACAACATCTACCTTGCTTTGGGCACCTCATTCCAGTTTGTCACTGTTTCTTTTTCTCCTGTGCTGATGTGCCTTTTCCAATCAGTCTCTACTGAGATTTTTTTCTCTTGGTTTTCAAGGTACTGCCTTACAGAAAAGTATTGGCACCTCCCACCTCCAAGGAGATGAGGAAGTTCTATGAAAGGCCAACAAAACTGCTTTGGTTGGAACCTCAGTCACATCATTTTCCCCTGTAATCATATTAAGTCAGATGAAGGAAGAGGAGAGGCAACTAGGGAGTATTACTAGAGCTTGGGGGCAATAGTAGATCTCAAGTCCTGTAGCTGTGATGCAAAAAGATACTCATTGGTCTGCTTCTCAGTAAGAAATTCTAAAAATAAAAGTATTTTAAACTTATTTTTTCCTCTAGATATAAAATATATACACTCTAAAAGTACTGTGAGAGAAGGAAAATTAATAAAGACAACTGTGCCATTCCTCATTAGTGGAAATGCCCTACAGTTAACCTGCCTCAAGCACTTTCAACATCACTGAATCCCTTGGGTGAGATTTTCCAAACTGCCAGCATTAGCTCAGACCTGCTCCCATTAAAATCATTTACTGACATCAGCACAGAAGGGGACTCCAGAGAGTCCCTGTGGTGCTCTATAGGTTGGAAGATCTTAACCTTTGCTGCTTCCCTATATTTACACACATGGCTACACAGATATACTCAGATACATTTGTGAAAGCCATCATTTTCCTCAGAGGACCTAAAAAAGGACCAGTAAGTCACCTGTGTGGAATAAAGAATAAAGGATAAAGGAAAGTAGTATAAATCATGGAGGGTAATATAAATCATGGAGGAAAGGGGAACTTCATTTAAGATGGAACTTCATCAAGTGCCTAGTGAAGTCAGCTAATGGCAGCCTCCGTGTTCCAAATTATAGAGCAAAACCTTCCAGAACACATTATTTTGTGCAATATGTTGTCTACCTATGGGGCCCAGTTGCCATTGGCAGTCATCAGGGCAAAGAGTTTAGTAGAATTAGGAAAAAAAAAAAGAAAGGATTTAGGAAGCTTTGTGAGCAAAGACAACATTTGCAGCTGCATGTGCTAGATTAAAACAGCGCAGGGGACAAACAAGCTTCCTGCTTCAGCGGCATAAGCTGATTGCTTTGAGAGTCAAGGAATGTTTTCTTGCCATGTGTTAGCCCTGCTGGTTTATTGAGCTGTGTGATGGGATGGTTTGACTTTTCACTAACAGAAGTGATGATGATGATGAATGCTATAGGTAGATTATTTGCTCGTCTGTATCATGGCAACCTTGGTACTTCTATAAAAAGAATCTCAGTCAATAAGTCTTGATGAAGAGTGATTTCTCAAGCAAGGGATTGGCTTGGGACCAGTGAGAACAGGAATCTGACCTTGTCTCAAAAAGAGACTTCCTCACTAACTGTAGGTTAGGTTACTCTCTCTGTGCTTTAAATTATCACCTTGACATAATAAGGTGTATTTCTCTACTTTCCAGAAGCACAACAAAAGCAAAGTACGTAAGAAGAGAGTGGTCACATTTTCATTTACACTGTGTGCTTTGGAGTCAGACCTGCCATCCTTCTGTAAATCTTCAGCTGGAATTACTCAAGATTTTCCTAATTTACACTGATGAAATGAGTTCAGAAAATAGTGCTTTCACTCCAGTGCTTGTGGTTTGGACATGTTTCCTACATACAAATAACAGCAGCCCATCCTAAGAAAGAGCAGTAGCCCCAAGAAAGTCCAGCAGCCTTAACCCTGAACAGAAGTTTCTGCAATGGATTGTGCATCATGATGGCTGACTTGAAGCCCCATAAGCTCATGTCCAAGTCTTTGTTCCTGTTCTAGACTGTTGTCATTACACCTTCTTGTTTCAAGGTCAGAAGCTTTTCAGATATTCTTGTTTACTTTGAGCAGTAGATAAAATCTGAGAAAAGACATTTTTGAAGTATAGGCTGAATGAGCTGAATTATTTATGTTAATGGCTATGGGTGCTATACCTGTTGCTAAGAAATGCTGCAATACTTCATCATAACTCCCATTTGGAAATCCATTATAGCTAGCAGAGTAGAAAAAGATAAAGTACAGGTTGAGCAAGTCATTGATGCACAAGAAAACTTTCGCTGGATGGAACTGGAACTCTTGTTCTAGATTGTGGCCATTGCCCCTTGCCCTGTCTCTGGCACTACTGAAAAGGGCCTGTTCTATCCTTTCAGGTATTTATAGACATTAATAAGACACTCCCTGAGCCTCCTCCAGGATGAACAGTCCCAGTTCCCTCAGCCTCTTGGTGGCCTTATGTTGGACTCTTACCAGTATGTCCAAGTTTTCTCTTGTGCTGGGGAGGCAAAACTTGACACGTCACCAAAGTATGGATTTCTGCTGCAGGAGTCTTTGGACTTTCTTGGGTCCAAAAAAACAACCAAGATGTGAATTACATGATGATGATTTTCAGCCTTCACCTGACATTTCCTTTGCAGAAGTTCCTGCAACTGTCTAATGATCCAAAAGTCTACCTCGTCTTTGTTTTCTAATTCAGAATTATATATACACAGAAAGTAAAATTTCTAAAGGATTCAAAGGTAAGCTCAGCTCCAGTGCCGCTCAGCCATTTTTAACATCAAGACTGATAGACAACATTTAGGAAGGAGAACAGGTCTGTAGCCCATTAAAAGCAGCGATCCACTTTATCTTTTCTTATTTGGAAATGTGTATAGCTTTTAACTTATTCAAAAGACTGGACTACTTTCATTATTTCATGTTAATTTTATTGGGAGATGTGTGAGTAAATTCCCTATGCTTTTCTGAAGACCTTACCCACCATGTACTGCTATTTCCCCAGGTGGGGGATGACTTTATGCTAGTAACTGCTGTAATTGGATAGTGGTTCTGTAGGATGCACAGAGATCCAATCTGATTGTCACACTTAAAATGGTCTGGCTCTGCTTTCTACTCTACATTAAATTAATTGCATTGTCTGCTTTGACTCAAGGCCCTTTAACAAGTTTGATATACAAGAACAACATTTCCACATGCCAGAAAGTTTGCATTCATCACCCATGGCCTCTTTTTCCTTCTACATTTTCACAGCTGAATGTGTGAAGCTTTGCACACCCCATGGCCATGCAGCTCCATAGCTGAAGGTGAGCTGGCACTGTGGCCATGCTAGGTTTGGTGTGCACACTGGCTGCTCCATGCAGTGGCATTGCAATGGCTGTGCCTGATACCATGAGCCCATTCTGCCTCTGGGGAGGGTGGTGGTTGCCTGATCCCAGCAGGACCATGGAGGATCATTCATAGCCTGGTGGGATTAATGCACATGGTGACAACCCCAGCCTGCCTGTAACGTCGGGTTTGTTGCTGACACTCAGCAGCTGCAGAACAGCACTCAAGTCCTTATTGCTGCTTTTAAACAGCATGAGCCCACACTCGTCGTGAACAGGGGCACTGTAGCCTCAGTGAGGTATTATTTTGCATGGTTAGATGAAAATTTTGCAATTGCAGGAGGCTGCTGCAGTTTCTAAGGGACAAGCTCATACTGTTATTTCACACTGATATTTTACAGAAGTTCAGAGGTGCAATTGAGGCAAGGTGTTTCTGCACCCGTAGCACTGATCTCAGCTCGCCCAGGATGTTTGCAGCTGACATTCTGTGTGCTGTCCAGATCTGAGCAGCGCTCTTGTGCTGCAGCAGGTTCACATGGCGCAGATTTGTTCGTTTCCATTGCAGTGCAATTCCGTGTGGACTCTGTTTTCAAACCACTTAATAGTACGTATACATGAACATACCTTCCCTGCTTGCTAGCTTGTGTTTTAAAGCTGCCTCTTCACACCGCGTTTAACCAACCTTATAACCTAATCGGTAATTCAGTATTTGCACAGGTAGCCCAGGCACCATCGTGCACGGTTGTTATCAGTCTCGGAAAGCAGCGCGCCCCGCGGAACGGAGGTTTGCTGCGGAGCTCCGCCGGCTCCGCGGGAGACGCGACCGCGGAATGGCGTGCATTCCCAAGATGGGAGAACGCGTCCCCGCGCGGGAGACCCGCCGGTCGGCACGAGGCGGACGCCGCCGCTCCAAGCCGCCTCGGCCGCGCCTCGCGCCGCGCGTGCCGCCCGCCGCCCCACTCCGTTCTCGTTCCGCGGAACTCGGCGGCGCGACCCGGCGCGCGGAGAGGCGGCGGCGCTGTGCGGGACCGCGGGCGAATCGCCCGACCGCCCCCCGCGCGCCAACGGCTCCCGCGGGCTAATCGCCCAACCGCCGCTCGCGCGCCGGCCCAACCGTCGCCCGCCCAACGGCCGGCGGCCACCCGGCACCGCGGGGCCCCAGCCGCCCCCCGAGCTCTGGCGGCGGGCCCGCTGGGCGGGGCGAGCCGCAGCCTCGCCGGAAGTGAGCGGCGGGGGGAGAGCCCGGAGCGGCGGCGGAGACTGGAGCGGGAGCGCCGTCTCCGCTGCCGGGCAGGGACGTGCTCCGGCTGCCGGGCGGTTCCGCGCTCGGCGGAAACAAGAAACGGGAAAGGAAGGGAGCGGCAGCGGAGAGCCGGCGGTGGCGGCCACCATTAGCGGCGGGAGGAGGAGCGGCGGGTAGCGGCGGCAGCAGCAGCAGCAGCAGCCGCAGCCGCAGCCGCGGGGGGCTGCGAGGCGGAGCGCGAGCGGAGCTCCGGTGCCGCCGCCGCCGCCAGCGAGAGCGTGCCTGCCGTCTCTGCCCTCTGAGCTGCGGGGGATCGCCGCCGTCCTCCCGCCGGGGGCTCCCCGAGCCGGGGCGAGGTGAGCACGGGAGCCGCCCTTCGCCGGGGGGTGCGCCGCATCGCCTCTGGGGGCCGGCGGCTGAGGGGGAGAGGGCGGGCAGCGCCTTTCCTGCCGCCTCCCTCGGCTCACCGCGGGCTGCGGAGGGACCGCGCCGGGCGGAGGAGCGGGGCGGAGGAGCGGCGGGGGATCGGCGAGGCGGCGGCAGCCACCCCGCGCGGCGCCGGGGGCGTTTCTTTCAAAGCGAGCGTTTGCACGCCGATGGCCGGCGGGGGCTCGCTGTTCCCCGCGTGAGACGTGCCTCGGAGCGGGCTGGGCGGCGCGGCGGGGCTGCGGCGTGCAGCATCCACACAATGTCAGCTTGGGTTAGCGAGTCCCCACCCTGCGGAGCTGCGGGCGGACGGGTTCCCCCCACGTGGCGCTGCCGAGCCCGGCCGCTCGGGTCCTTTCTCCTGGCGCAGGAGGGAGCGAGCGCTCGGGGTTCGTCGCGGCGCCGCGGGGCTTTTTTGTTCGTTTGGTTGGTGGTTTCAAGTCCCGCGTCTATTAGTCCTTCTAGCTGTGGGGCTTAGCGAAGGCGGGCTGGCGTGTGGAAGGCGAGGCTGTTGTCTGCCTCGGTGCTCGTGAAGATGTGCGTGTACGTATTTGTATGTATTCATACAGACATGTATCTGCACACTTAATTGCGTCTGGGCGATCATTGGTGCTGGGAGGGGAAGGAGTGTCTGCGTACGTGTGTATCACGTGAGCCTGACACAGGTACGCTGCTTTTCTCCTGCATTCGTGTTAACTGTCGCAAGAAGGCAGTGACTGAGCTGTCAGTGTTGGACCATTTGTCTTGGATATGTTGTCTTGTGTGGCAGAAAATAACCATTTAAGTGTTTGGGTGCTGTCGTACCATTTTATTTCATCATTTTTACTGGTAGTGTGACCTGTTTTTTTTTTAACCTGACTGTATCTACTGAGAAGGGAGGAACCTGTCAGTATGTGTAATACCCCTTCTGCTGGAGGGGTAGAGGTGTGCTCAGTTTGGAGCACTATTCACACAGCTACGATGTCTGGGTTGTCATTCACATGGTGGAGTAGAACTACTGTCTGTGGGACTGAAGAATCACACCCACACATAGCTGCATGCTAACCAGAAAGGCCTCTTCTCATCTGTTCCCCCTCACTCCCTGTCCTCTGATCGGGGATGCAATTACTTATAAAACTCCATTGGGACAAAAAAATAAATTTAGATATTTATTAATAACATATAAATATCTAAACCAGCAAACCTTTATCTTTTACTATCTATTTAATCAGCTTTTCTTGGCTAAGAAATTTCTTATAAAAACATAAACAGAAAAGTCACTAGCTGAATCATCCTCGGAAATGAATGTAAGTTCTGGGAATGCATTAAACAGTAAGATTGAAAGATGTGGATGTATCTGTATTTAATATGCTTATACCCTTGGGTGGGTGTGGCAGATAGCAGAATACAGAGCTGGTATATTGCACCTAACTTGACATAGGATTTTTATCTCAGTGGATGATACTCAAATTGAAGTGCATTAGGGAGGACTTTTGCTCTAATAGAACAAAGAGGTAAGCAGTATGAAGGAATTGACTTGATACTTTTTCTAGAAATTTCATTTTTAGATAATCAAAAAGCCAAGCCATTTTAAGGAATTCATATGACTTGCAGTGAAGGGTCCTTCTGCCAGTGTTTCTCTGACTCAGCATCAGAAAAAGACAGGAACAGTGCTTAACAGTGATTAAAAAACAAAACGCATAGTTTGCCAGATGTTAATCTCCCAAAAGATTATTAAAAGTCACATGAGAAGGAACACTGACAGATTTTTTAAATTTCGGTTCTGTTTTCCTTGCATATCTTGAAGCCATTGCTCTCAGTTTTTAATCCAAAATATTGTTTTCCAGCAGAGTAATGAGTTGATATGAATGCTTGTGAACTTCCTGTATATTACAACATCCTGCTTTTTTTTTTTTTTTTTTAAGGTAAACCTTGGTACAGAGAACACCTGTTGATTTACAGGAATGTATGAGACAGCTACCTTTTGTAGGTGATGGTTCACACAGTTGAGAAAACTAAGCCTCTTAAAATCAAGAGCGCATCTCATGATATCTTGGTTATCAGTATTTGTGAACGTCTTTATTTTTCCAGTTCCTCAAGCCACTGAAATTATTTCAGCTGTAGAACCAGTCTGTTGCTGATTTTTTTTTGTGTGTGTGTGTGTGTGCCATTATGAACACGTGCTCCTTTTCCTCTCCTTCAGCATTCAGGTTTTTTAATAAAGGGTTTCTTCCCCCCTCCAGAAAAGGTGTGATTTCTTTGTGCTCTGTATTGAACGTCTTCATGCTCTATGGCCACTAGAATTTGTTCTTTCTTAAAATGTCTTTCAGCCACTAGAGGGGAAAAAAATACATTTGTCAAACTGGGACAGAGTTAAATCTAACTCAGGCAAATAGTATGAGCAATGAAGATGGATTCCAGGCATGAAATAAACTAGATCACCATTAAGTAGTAGAAAAATGCAAATATCTCAACAAATGAAGCAAAAAATTGCAGAAGTAATCTTTTCTGGTCCATTCACCAGTAGTTTTATTACTGAACTAAATAGATGAGAATTGAAACAATGTTCCAGCTTCTTCTTAATATCTGTTCACACTGAGAATCCTGCTGGTAATATCTAGAACTTGTTACAGACACACAGCTGAGTGAGAGATGGTCAACTTGTATTTCATCCCTAAGAATAAAGACTTACGGATGCTGGCACTAAGAGGCTTTACACCATTCTGTACAATTGCTAGAAGATGACATGCTGGCTTACAGCTGAACTAGGCAATATCAAGTCAGTTTTACAAAATAGGTGATCAATTTGTCTTTATTACTGACAAAGATTTAAGGTAGCATAGAAACTACAGCAGACTGAGGAGTAGTCAAGTTTACTGTGAATATATATGTGGAATATAACTAACTTATGTTAATTTACAGGAAAGGTAGCTTAGAAAGTAGTGTTGTGTTATTAATTGAATCCTCCTCAGGATTCAAAATATTTCTCTACCATGATTAGCTGTCACAGGTAACGAGAACCCACTTGGAATGCTTTCCATCTTTAGGAATGTCTACAAGGTTAGAGAGTGTCATTGGAGAAAGTTGTGCTGTAATTACCTGTTACAGTAGCTAATCAGATTAGCAAGGAATTAATGTTTCTTCTTGGTCCTCTGCAAGCAATATAACCACCTAAAAACAGTATTCATTCAAAATGGCATCTATTTTCAAAAGGGTAATACCAGGAAGGAGTAGTAAGTACCTAGTTTAAAATACCAGGGAGGGAAAGAAGAAGTGTGGGGGGATGGCTAGGAATTCCAGAGCTACTGTGACAATAGGTTGGAAATTTGTTTAGCCACAGAAATATTTTTATGTGTCACTATATTTCTCATTTCATCTTATGCATATAAGATGCTGTAGTCAGAAAGATGATTGAGCCTTCATTATTCTGATTTTTGTCTTGCAGAGAGCAGAGTGTAACTTGAAAGCTTTAATATGAAAATATTATTGCAAGTCTGGTGAGGAACTTATTATGCTCAGTAGAAAAATTGTTATATTTACTTTTCTTAAGTAAATGTTTTCAAGTGTTGAAGAACTGAAGTTACTGCTGCTAAAAATGCACTGATTTTGAGTTGGGCACATGGTAAATTGAATAAGGATTTTTCCTGTCAGGTGGCAATTACATTCCAATAACAGATGATTAAGATAGTAATGCATTGCTCTAACTATTATGGCTGACCTCTGCTGAAGTGTTCTAGTGCTGTTGCAAGGTATCACGGTTCTGCCATGGTCATAGATACAAAGACAGCCAAGAGCTGTTTTATGCAAGCTGTGTTAATGCAGATCCAAATTCCCATACTATTTCCTATGTAATAGCCAATTTCTAGCAGATGAGGATTAGAAAGTTATGAAAGCAAGAAGGGTAACAATGTTGTCCAGTTCTGATCAGTTTTTATGTCAGTTTTGTACTTTCATTTAGAAAAGGTTATTGGAAGTTGGAGAACAGTGTAATTTCTTTCAAATGCATGTATTAAGTGGAAAAATATGCTGAATAGAACAGGTACACGCATCTCCTTCTAGCCTCCTGTATCCTTCATCCTCTCTGATATTTTCTCCATTATGAAGCCTAAAGAAGTGTTGCACAGGGACTGACAGAAGTGATTGCTCATGAGCACATGAGAGTTGAGAGCAGTGATGGCAGCAGGGCGTTTTTCCCTGCTGCCAGCACTAGGGTTGTTTTCTCTGGTCTTTCCCACTCCCCAGAGACTTCCCCCTGTGCTGTGCTCATAGGCCCTGTACTGTTCTGTCATACCTTTCTTGCTCTTGCTAGCTGGATTAAACAGGATTGCAACTACTCTGTGCTGAGTTGGTATGTATTACAGTTACTTTTGGTAATTTTTTGTTGTAGCTTTAGGGGTTTTTTTTCATGTGGAACAATTTAATAGTTTGCTCCTTAAGGAAAAGCTCCTGGTAGAGCTTGTAGCTTTCCAGTGATACATCATATCATATTGTCATGTATCAGTGGTTTGTGAAAACCACAGATTCTTCCAGGAAGTCCTGGGATCCTTTTGATAGCTCTACTGCAAGTTTTTTTTATTTTCTGAGATTTTTTTTCATCACAAAAACCTTTTCAAAAGTATCCCAAAGACTTGTTTACTATTTTAATGCAATGGTAACTGGTAAATTTATCTGCGTGTAAAACTTAATTACAAAGGCTAAGCTGTTATTCTACTCACAAAGAAAAAAAGGTTTTTGTCAGATTCTTGGTGATACCAAAGTACTTGCACATAGACCAATAGTCCTGTACAGAAAGAAAAACAGCACTCACCCAGCTGGTGAAGGGGCTCCTGGCCGTGCAGCACTCCTTAGCAACAGCCCAGGTCCAAGGGACGCTCTCCCTTCAGTGGCTGGCTCTTATAATGAGCCCAGGGGCTCCACCTGTGCCACCCCTCCTGGTCAGCTGGGGAGCACA